AAAAACAATTAACCAATTTGGAATTTCGATCTTTATTTCATTGTTGTGAAATTCAGTCAAAAAAGGTTGACACGCAGTAGCTACCTTTTCATTAAATCTTTTTGCTTTTCGTTAAATGCAAGCTGATTGACTGAGATCTTACCTGAAAATTCTATAATACAGTGTTTGTCATCTCTCGGATGTCTTCCGAGTTAAACAGGAATTTCAACATATCATCTCAGCGCTGCGCTCTGAACTGTAGGACATGTTAAAAACATCAGACTCCGAGCTACATGCCGCCATCAATCTGTTCGCAGATTCTTTCCAACCTGTAGAGCTAATCAGTTTCTGATGCACGCTAAATACAAAAGGTTAAAATGCTGCCCAGTATGAACTTTTGTTTAAATATTTAATTTAAAAATTAACACATGAATTGAATTAAACATATAACACATTAACCAATTATGAAAAACATTAGTTTCACTCGCCATACGTAACACAAATGTTGTAATTACAGATGTGTGAAAATTATTAGAAGAATGAAAAAACTAACAGTAAATTACTTTTGAAATATAATTATCACAATTTATCAATACACCATACCCTCTTTAGTATGTGGGGTGCATACCTATGGTCTTTATAACAATTTCTATCCTCTCTCGCATGGTTTTCTCAAGGGTCGTGCACATTTTCTGAATATTTTTATGGTGAAACTCCAGGTTTGTGATGTTTTCAATGAGACCAATTCTGGTTGTTATTGTTTTCGTCAATTCCCCATTGGTGGCAGCAGATGTGATATCCCCCCTTTTTGAATGCTGTCTAATGAGCGTAATTCACATAGGAGAGGTTGTCACGTGAGACATGATCAGAGTGACCGGAAAAAGAAGGGGTTATGGTTGGAGAAGAAATAGTCATGCAGTAGTTATTAAGTTAAGTTTAATTGCTTAATCATCACTGAAGTTACCCTACGTGGAAAACACCAGGAATGATAGGAGTGATGAGAAAGAGTGAGAGAGAGAGAAGGAAACGCAATGGAGCAATGACTAAGATGTCAATGCACTCATGTCGGCTGTTTGCTTCTTACCATTGCTTCCAGTTCTTCGGAAGGAATCTCATTGTTTCTGGTTTCCATGTTGTTCGTCTTCTTCCTTTGCAGCTGTCGTAGGTGCCCGATGCGGACTGCAATATGGCTTTGATATACTCTGTAGATAGAACAATGTGTCCCTGTGTGTTGGGAGGCCCCTTTAAATACCCTGCCACCTATTGTGGGAATCTCCCAGAGAATGTCATTTGGAAAGGCGTAAAGTCAATATATTTTTGGGCTTCCCTGCTCGTTCTGTTCGTCCGCATGGCGATGAAATGTTTGTAATTTCTAAATTTATAATTTTTAATAATGATGGAAATGATTTATATTATTTGTGTTGGTTCATTGCATTTGGCTCTCATGGGCCAAATGTATGAAGTATTTTTAATAACTTATCATTTTCTACTGTGATGGCGAAATAAATAATATTGTTAAAGTAGGCTCATCACAATACATTTTGGAGAAAACTACTCATCAGGGGCCATTCTCATGTCCTGGCATCTTTCCTATGACACAGAAAATTTAGTCTGGTCTGGAAAATATTACCTGCATGATTATATGGCCTTTTAATGTTTGTTGTTAAAATAATGTTTTGAAACTGTAGAAAATTAATCTGTACGTGTCTGTACTAAATTCTTGAAAAAATTTGAAAAATTACACTTTACCTATGAGTATGAAGTTATCTGTTTGAAAACAGTAAATCATGGAATATATCATGTTTGTACGTTTTTCCAACTGATTATAACTTCAATCTGCGTACCTTTTGCCCATTCCAGCTATTTCTTAGCCATGATAGGAGTTATTTTTGCTTTATTTCACAAAGACCGCTTCTTATAATTGATAGGATATATCAAATCCATTTGACCTGGGTTGATTGCTCAAGTCTTTACTAGTGTTTTTTCTATTTATCTTAGCCTTTACAATCAATTTTTGTTGCTTATGAGGGCTGAGTTTGGGTTTTCAACCACATATCCCCTTACATTTGACTGTAAGGGTCTTACTGGATTTCACTGCAGAACCGATTCTACTAACTAACCAATGTTTGTGAAAGATGCAATTTCCTGGAAATGTCGTTTTTTCTTTTATGAAACATTCAGTCAATTTCAACAATTGCCACAACATCAGCTGATTTGATATACAATATTACAAATCTTACAAGTCATAATTATGGAATTTCATGGAATTATGGGATTTCATTAAGATTCATTAATTTTTTACATTGATTGACATGAATTAATTCAAAGCATTTTTCCCTCAAAGTTTTATGTATTTGGTATAATGAAACATTTAAAACTATTTTACCTATTGCTGCATATTTTAATATAGTAGATATTGGGGTTCCGTGTTTTAAAATATATTTACTTGTTGAATCTGAATGACTCATATAAGTGTTTGTGAATACTCTTCTAGTGATACATGATCTTTCTGTGAAACAGCAATGTAAGTGTGTATTAGCTATGTTTCTAGGACCTTCTCTGTGAATAGTCATCAAACTCTTTCCTCTGCATTTCAGAGTTCATGTACTCTAAATCAAGGATGAAAGAAATTTGAGACAATAAATTGCAGTCAAGAACTTACTCATGTTTCATTGAGACCATTCATAACTCGAACAAAATCTGACAAACCTTTCTGGCCCAATTGTCTTGTGCTTTCTTCATCCCGCAGACCCACATGTCAAAGATGGAGCATTCAGAACCTATTCGTGAAATCTCGCCTTTTTGGGCCAAATGGAACTAAAGGGAAACTGCCTTACATGGTCATTAATGGTTCTGTCAAAAATTGGCTGGAAAATTTACAACACGGACATCTGATTTAGATGAAAATATGCATCTGCACCATGCCTTGTTTGTCCTTAACTCATAGGAGGGAAATTAAAAATAATAGAATTACTGTGAAATGGGAGAAAATTTTATTAAGAGATAATTACTAACCTGGGAAAGGTCGCTGGGTAGGATTTGGATCCTGGGAATTACTTTTTAATGTAATTTTATTTGAGAATATGTTACATACTCGTGTGATTTTTTAATACTATTCCTCTAGTGATTTATAAGCAAAACCCATTACTTTGCATGATTGAGTCAACACATTTTGACCTGTTGTTACCAAGTAAATCAAGGTTTTTTAATGAGTGAATCAGGCTTAGAGAAATCACCCCAGGACCCTGGGGCACGTGGAAAGCAAACAAATAAAGGTGATTTTTCTTTTTTTTAAATGGAAAGCATTGGACCCTAGATATGGTATCATCTGCTCTTATTATTTGGTGTTATAGTTTAACCACTAAATTTTAATATTTCTTAACTTTATAGAATGAACACTTAACATAACTAAACAGTTAACACTTAACTAAGAAGTTACATTTTCATCACATGGTTTTGTTCTGAGAGCTACAATCAATCTGTTGACAACAGACTGTTTCATGACTATGCAGGCAAGCTTGTGAATGTGAGGTTAGAGTTGTCAAAGCATAGTTACACTCGATTTAAATAGAATAACTTTTGATGGAACAGCAGGTGAACATAGATTTCTGATCTGGAGCTTTGTTACGACTTAAATGCTTAACAACTGATGATCTATCAGAGCATAGTGAGTTTTCCAGCGCAAAGATTATTTTGAAGTATATTACTAAGAGTGCTAGATGAAAAAGTTTTAAAATGTCAAGAAATGCAAAGGTAATAGTTCTAAAAAGAAAAAAGAAAAGGAAAAAAACACCATCCCCCCCTCCCCATTTCAAGTTTGTATTAGATAAATAACTACAACCTTCAATGCGGTGCTGAGGGTGAGCGCGGTATCATTTAAAGGCGACTTTAAGGGAAGGGTGTGGTCAGTGGCACAACAGGGCCGGGTAGCAAGCTGAGCACATCCGTCGAGGCCTATTGCGGGCGCATATCAGCGTAGACATTGTTGCGCTTCCCAACTCTGAAATCATGCTCTTTCCTGAGAATGCAATGCTTCACATCTTCAATAATATGGCAAACTATGATCATGATTAAATAATATTGACTTAAAGGAAATGGGAAATAAAATAACTATACTACACTTTCATTCATTTACATCAATGTATATTAAGAGTAGAACATCATTAAAAATAAGGTATGCTAATTTTCTTTTCAGGGACTCATAATAATTTACAATGGAATGATAGCTTTTAAAACAACTGTCAGGGCAAAGTCCAACTTTCAATCTGGGCAAAGTCCAACTTTCAATCTGAGCGTGAAATTGTAGACTCTCGACATCTCTCACTCTTGTGGCATACCACATATCATTTCTGTTGTTTTAATTTTGTCGCCTTGAGGTGGAATTCTTTCAAGAAAGTGTCTGACAAGCGATGTAAATCACTTGCGAAATGACGTTTACATTCTGCTCTTTTGTCTTGTGAATGAACAGACACCATTTGCTTGATCAGATCAATACGAAATTTCAGTTCTTGTCCCAGTATCATTCTTTTTCGTAATTTTATAATCTTCTGAACATTTTGATAATACAATTCTTTCTTTTTTCGCTTTCAGTAAGATATATTTACAAGTATTGATCTTTCAGATCTACCCCTTCTATAGATTTATTGCATTAAAAAAAAAAAAAAAATCTATCGGTCAATCTAAAAAAAAAAACAAAAAAGAAAGATAAGATGAATAACATAGATAGAAAGGAAATAGATGGTTTATTATAGAACCTGTTTAGGATGTAGTCCCCTTCATTGTCCCTTCTATCCAGGCCATGTTGTTTCAGCATGCACTTCCTGTGCCAAGTAGCTTGTAAACTTGTTTGTGCATGGGGTGGAAAGCAAGAAACGATTGTCAAGTCATGAACACTATCTTCTATTTAGAACTTGTTGAGAGCGGAGTTTAGTGTATAGAAGTTCAATCTACATATTCAATTGTTTCTTGAAGTCTTATTTCAAATTTGTAATTACATATTACAAATTTGTACGAATTTGCAGAACCAGCAAATGCAGCCTCCTCAAACTATGGCTTACTATACTGCTACCACTGCTGCTGCTGCCGCTGCTGCTGCTGGCAATGCTGCTCCGGTAAATCCTCAGCCTCCACCTCAGATGGCGGCTACATTGCCTCATCAGTTGGCTTCGGGTGGAGTTGCTGCAGCTGCAGCTCCCCCTCCCCCGCAGTCAGTGGTGAGTGCTCCTGTGGCAGCTGTAGTCAATGGCTCAGCTCACCCAGAGGAAGTGATATCTGCTTCTGCACCTGCCCAGCCAGTTCCTCAACCTCCTATTCCAACATTGGCGCCCATGCCTCAACCTGTTCCTATCCAGCCTGCGCCGGCTCCCTTGACACCAGCCCCACCTGCACACCCTGCTCCAGAAGAGGAGCCAGAGCAGGAGCAAGGTGCTGAAGATGAAGGGGAAGGTTGGGGAGATGTGCCTGAAGTGACAGCGGAGGAGGAGAAAGAAAAACAGACTCAGGAAAATGCAGAAGAGACCATTCATCATACACCAGAGACAGGTTTGAAATTTTTTTATTATTATTATTTGTGTAACAAAAGAAATTTTTAGTTCAGTCTTTCCTAAATGGTTTTAAAGTATTCTAATTCAATTTTTTGAAAAATAATGTAGCCTCTAGTGAGCCAAAAACATATGCAAACTTAGTGAAGTCTGGGGTCAGCACTAGTTCATCATTCTCATCTGCTATCTCCACTTCTCCTAATGTGCCAGCTAAACCACCATCATCACCGGCAAGTATCATTTCATCATTGTAAAATGGTGAGTGAACTCTACATTGGTTATATAACAACTCTTGCCTTCTTATATTTCAGCCTCCTAGTGCACAACGACCACTGGATTCCCGTGAAAATGTGCCTGTCTCAACGATGCCTAGTGGGGGTAGTGGAGGCCTTGGTCTTGGTTCTAGAGGTGCCAGACGTGGAGGTGGTAATGTTCGTGGCATGGCCCGACCAGATCGAGGGACACCGGGGAGAGGAAATTTCAATGAAGATTCTAGTAAGTGTGAATCAGAGATTTGGAGATAAATAAGCAGAAAAATAAATGCTCGTCACAAAAACACATTATTACAAAACATTCACATACTGAAAATTACGTATGCCAAGTTCTTGAATATTTATTTATCTGGTTGATCTCTCTGACTCGCACACACACGCTTCCATATTTACCTCTTCTATCCCCCTTTTTTTCTCCTTGATCCCCATCTCTTTCATATCTGTCTATCTTCGATCTCTCTCCCTGACTTATGCCTTCACTTTGATCTCCCCTCCCTCATTTCGATATCCTCTCTCAAACACTCTCTTTTTCTGTCTCCCTCTCCTTTCTCCCCTCTCCTCTCTCTCCCTTTCCTCTCCCTCTCCTCTCCTCTCTCTCCCTCTCCTCTATCTCCCTCTCCTCTCTCTCCCTCTCCTCTCTCTCCCTCTCCTCTCTCTCCCTCTCCTCTCTCTCCCTTCTCTCTCTCTTCTTCTCTTCCCTCTCCTCTTTCCTTTTCTCCCTCTCCTCTCTTCCCTCTCCTCTCCTCTTCCCTCTCCCCTCTCTCTCCCCCTCTCTTCTCCCCTCTCTCTCCCCTTCACTCTCTTCTCCCTCCTCCTCTCTTCCCCTCTCTCTCCCCTCTCTCTCCCCCTCTTCTCTCTGCTCTCCCTCTCTTGCTCTCACCTCTCTCGTCTGCCTCTACTCGCTCTCCCCTCCATCGCTCTCCCCTCTCTCGCTCTCCCTCTCTCGCTCTCGCCTCCTTGCTCTCCTCTCTCGCTCTCACCCCTTCTCGCTCTCTCTCTCTCTCTCATCACTCTCTCTCTCTCTCTCTCTCTTCTCTCCCTCTCTCTCTCTCATTGGAAATTCTTCTTACAGAACCACTGAGAGTCATTTTGCATGAAAGCCTGCCAAATAGACAAATTATTTCTTTCCTTTATGACATTATTTTAAATGGGGTCACTGAACTGCATGAAGCTTGATTTTTACTGTTCTATATATAGTATACCGAGTAATACACATACTATAAAGAAAGTTATAATATGACTTCGGGAAGTCAAGTAGCATCCAATGTGGGAAAAAAGGTGTGCTGGGTTGTGTTTTTGTCGGCCTCACTCGAAGCTCTGGCAATTTTGAATAATACATTCAATTTTTGGTGTACTTTACAAGAACCCCTGGGACATTTTTTGCTTTAAATATATTGTAAGAATTGGAGTGAAATATTCATTTCAAAGATTTCCAATTTATACAGTTAACATCTGGCATGGTCTAGTTTTCACTGTTACTCTGAAATTTCTTAAATTGCTTAAGTTTTTCTGTCTTCCATCAACTAGTTAGCGTTTCACCGTATTATGAAGTGACATATGTGCAATATTAAAAGTATTGGACATGGAACTTGCTCAAAAACTGGCTCTATTTTTTGTTTGAATTTGGCTGAGAATAGTGTCAATGGTTCTGCATATGATGACAAACTCCATTTTGCTGTATTATTTTTTGTTTTTTAAAAAATTACAAGACGTGTCATCTTTTACTTGTGTTCAAGTATGAATATTTACATTTGTTCATCATTAAGTGCATTAGTTCCAGTATTAGTGCTTTTATAGCACATGTTTCTTAGAATATTGGTCTCCATAAAGTTTTGTAAACAACTAACTCAAGAGTTTACTGTTTAATGATTTAAAATTTTGCATTTTCAGAAATTTCTCAACATTTTCTTAAAACTTGGCTCCAAATTTTTTTTCCTTTACATGATTTCTATGAATAGTGCTAAATGCAGCGTTATAAGATGACATAAAGCCATGTCTGCTCTACTGTTACGACACTGAAACATTGAGAAAATAAAAAAAATCGTTTGAGTAGCGATTGAGGGCAGCTGGCAGAAGATGAAAAGCTAGCCCAGAGCAATGAATTAGAAAACTAACTAGTCAAGGATGTCTTGCTTTCGTACCACCATTAGTTTAACTTTCCTGTGTGTAAAATTAAGTTAAGATAACTGACTTATGAATCTTCAGTTGGTTAAAACTTAAAACATTCTCTTGTGTAGTATTTTAGGTGGCAATTTTAGTCAGTTAACGTGGTCAGAAGATTGCCTATTTAGAACTTGTGTGTATTCTACTGTATTTTCCTTGGTTGTGAACGGATCTTGGTTTCAACAGGCAACTGCCGGTGGAGATGGTATAATCGGCGAATGGGAAATGTTACTACAGCAGTCTGCAGAACCACTCAAAACTGTTCATGGGGCAACTTCCTCATCAGCCACTGAAGATGATTTGAGGGTCAACAAAATTAGTAATTTCTAGTGCCAGAAAGTAAAAACATTTAATTGATAAATAAGAAACTTAACGTTACTAAGTGAATGACATCTTTCCTGTGGTTTAAGAGGCATACTATTTTCATTGTCATGCATGTAATAGAAATCAGGAAAGATTAAAACGCATTCTTTTATAATGGAGAGTGATGCTGAAAACGGAAATTGTTTGGTGAGAATATAGATTAAGAATGGAACATTACAATGAAACAATGGAACCATTACATTTATACAGGAATGATATCTTAGAGTACATCTAGGGCTTCTGCTGGAGGAGTGAATGATCACATTTCGTAATGAACATGTGGGCAATTTTCATGTAAAATGAAGTTCGACCTACATAGCTTAATCATATCGCCCTCATTTTGTAAGCAACTCTTTTATGCACAAGTTGTTTTCGCATGTTGTTCTGCTTCATCAGAGAATTTCCAAACACTACATGATGAGTTGCTAAATATACCAGCAGAACAAATGTCACATATGGTTACGTTATATATTGAAATTTCCTACCACAAATTTTAATTTGGCAAGAGGTGATTACAAACTTCCAACTCCTACATCGCTCTAGAACTTTTTATGTGAGACAAACCTGTATATAAAATTGAACGCACTGTTAGCATTGGATTGAAATTTATTTTAATCTTCACTAGTGAAACGAATCACGTTTTTTCTGTAAGCAACTAGTTTACATAGTTGCCAATGGATAAAATTGCTTTTAGGCGTTCACGTAAGAATTAATTTCTCTATTTTAGAAAATATACTCGAGCTATTTCGAATTATGTTGAGTAGATTCAGATTTTTTTCAAGTTTATCATATTTGAAGAAACTTAACGATCACTATCATTACTTGATTTTGGGATATAAAAAGTTTGTTTCTTTTAATCTCATTCTGCAAGTTGAAGATTGGTCTTTCACTTCTATAATCAATTTATTGTCTCAGATGTGGCTTTTTACTTTTCTCGAATACATGTGACATGCTGTAAATCAATTGGGAGATTTTACACC